CACACAGGCACACAGACTGACAGATACAGACTGGCACACAGACTGACACACAGGCACACAGAATGACACACAGGCACACAGACTGACAGATACACACAGGCACACAGAGTGACAGATACAGACACACAGGCACACAGAGTGACACACAGATACAGACTGACACACAGGCACACAGACTGACACACAGGCACACAGACTGACAGATACAGACTGGCACACAGACTGACACACAGGCACACAGAATGACACACAGGCACACAGACTGACAGATACACACAGGCACACAGAGTGACAGATACAGACACACAGGCACACAGAGTGACACACAGATACAGACTGACACACAGGCACACAGACTGACACACAGGCACACAGACTGACAGATACAGACACACAGACTGACAGATACAGACACACAGACTGACAGATACAGACACACAGACTGACAGATACAGACACACAGGCACACAGAGTGACACACAGATACAGACTGACACACAGGCACACAGATACAGACACACAGGCACACAGAGTGACAGATACAGACTGACACACAGGCACACAGAGTGACAGACAGATACAGACTGACACACAGGCACACAGATACAGGCACACAGGCATACAGATACAGGCACACAGAGTGACACACAGATACAGACTGACACACGCTCAGCTCATTTGCAGGAGATCTGCACACCCTGCTCCTCTAGCGGTAAAAGGGCTTTTCTGCTTTGCCTAAACCATCCTGTTCACCCCCAGGACATCGCAAAGGAGCTTTTACACTGCAGAGAGCAGAACAGCTCCTGTTGATCTGCTTCTGCCTGCTGGTCCCCAGGTCTGCCTCCAGCAGAGAGGTTTCAGATCTGCTCAGGTGTCTCGAATTTAAGAGCCCCCCCCCCTTCCCCTCCCTCCCAGCACTGGGAAGCAATTAGCTGCATCCTTGTTCCCCGAGGGACTCCTCTAACAGCCGGACCAGAGCACTAATGGAGGGTGGCAGGGGAGACATTAGGCAGCAGAATAAAATCCCAATAGGTGGCAGGCTTGGCAACAGAGGGCGCCGAGGGAGAGGCTGCATCCCAGTAAAAAAATGCCTGAATCTCATCGTTGGGCTCTTCTTCCTACATTTCATCACATCTGCGCATCCCTGTCCGTCTCGAGTGCTGTGGGTCACCTGCGGGGACATCCCACCTGTTTCAGAACAGCTCTTGAGAGCTGCCCACCTCCGTCTGAAACAAGGCCGCCTGCTTCCCTTGGCAAGTACTGTCATTCCAGAGGTCCTCTCTGGTCAGAGAGCCCCCACTTTGCCAGCTGGGACCTGTAATCTGCCTGAATCAAAGCTGCACCCTAGTCCAGAAGGCCTCGAGATCATCGTTAGGCTCTTCGTCACCTGTGGCTTTATCGAATATGTGCATATGGCCGGGTTCTGGGGCAACAGGGGCGCTGTGCTGGGGGGAACTGGGGTCTCAGTGGAACAGTGGCAGCTCCTGCAGGCAAACGGTCTCGCCAGAAGCTGAAAGGACAGCCCTGCCCTCTCCCTGTCCCACTATGGGATTGTGCCCCCTGCAGTCAGGCAGGTTGCATGACACTGTCCCAGCTGTCCCTACTGCTGCCCCAGCTGTCCCTAATGCTGCTCCAGCTGTTGACACTGATGTCCCTACTGCTGCCCCAGCTGTCCCTACTGCTGCTCCAGCTGTTGATACAGCTGTCCCCACTGCTGCCCCAGCTGTCCCTACGCCTGCCCCAGCTGTTGACACTGATGTCCCTGCTGCTGCCCCAGCTGTCCATACTGCTGCTCCAGCTGTTGATACAGCTGTCCCTACTGCTGCCCCAGCTGTTGATACAGCTGTCCCCACTGCTGCCCCAGCTGTCCCTACGCCTGCCCCAGCTGTTGACACTGATGTCCCTGCTGCTGCCCCAGCTGTCC